CTAAATACATGCATGTATTCGAATGCAACATTGTGTCAAAATGTCAGTGCTCAGTTTTCATTTCTTATACTTCTGTGGTAAAATGAAAGCAAGGCTGAGAGTGGTTGTTTTGGGCATCACAGATTCCACTTTGTCTATTCCCAGACAACTAGTTTGCTCAAAATACACACATGTATTCGAATGCAACGTTGTGTTTCAATTTCATTTTACTATAAAAACACTTGTGTATTGGAATGCAACATTGTGTCAAAATGTCAAGTCAATTGACCGACTACTTTTTGAGTTTTGCAAGCACAAACATACACAGGTTGAGTTTTTAAATATAAAGATAGCTAATCAAATGCAGAAATTGTCCCCCAAGAAACTACATATATCTGAAATCAGAGAGGAAAATGGGGGTCTCTCATTTCTGCCAAGGAAGGATTGTGTAATCTTCATCATCCATTAACCAAATGTACTCTTAAGCTTACATATGCTAATACATGTGTGATTAATTAGTTACGGACGTGCTTCAGTCATGCAGTGATATTAGATTCCACAGCTCATTTGTTATTCCCTCTGCATTAAATAATAATAAAAATTCAGACATAGACTGTATTGTTTCCAGAGTCCAAAACCAAATGGGAATTCAAATTATAACTTTCTCATTCTATCTTCTTTATCCCAAAGAGCTCTATAGCATAAGGATATTTTCTGACACATTGGACCTTTTTCTTATAATAATGCCATATTTTGCGAAATATTTTTCAAAATATTTTTCAAGTAAACTTTTTTGATATTTTTATGATAGAACCAATTAAATAATGGCTTTTATAACCCAAGAACAAAAATGGTGCTACATAGTATTGTTTGGCCATGATATATATTACACTAGAGTGGCATTCTAAAAGGAAAGTCTCAATTAAAGTATTATTTTGGTTACTGAAAATGCATCCTGATGAATGAAAAAGTCCAGAAAGGCCCAGGTTTTGTTCCTATTCTTTCCAACTATATTTGGAGGTCCATAAACACTCTGTTGGAGCCACTGGTGGTGTAGCGGGTTAAACCGCTGAGCTGCTGAAGTTGCTGGCTGAAAGGTCGGCAGTTCGAATCCGGGGAGCTGGGTGAGCTCCCATTGTTAGCCCCAGCTTCTGCCAGCCTAGCAGTTTGAAAACATGCAAATATGAGTAGATCAATATGTACCGCTTCAGCGGGAAGGTAATGGCTCTCCATGCAATCATGTGGACCACATGATCTTGGAGGCATCTACGGACAATGCAGGCTCTTTGCCTTAGAAATGAAGATGAGCATCGGACACAACTAGACTTAATGTCAGGGGAAATCTTTACCTTTTTAAACACTCTGATTGTCCCATAATATTTTCTGTCAACTCCCAGTATTATCAGAAATGTTTTACACCATTTCCTGAGGTCTTTTTTGTTGTTAAAAAAAACATTATAGAATAGGAAAGAACAGGAAGAAAATCTGGGATTCCAACACCAAACTAGGATTCCTGTGGCCATTCCCCCTCCCCCCTCCCCAGAAACACCATGGTAAAAATTAGTCTGCTTAATGTTATTCTTCTAGACTGGAGAAACCCTGGTTTGTATGTCGCTTTTAAACCTTTGTAAACATGCTGAGTGCAACTATCATTAACCCCAAGGTCACTGTGAAACTGACCGGATACCATTGGATTGTTTCTACTTTATGACCATACAATTCTTACTTACTCGTAACCATTTGGAACCAAGTAACATTGACCTCTGGATAGTCTGAAGAGCACACTGTATCTCATTATAATAATCTCAGCTCCATTCTTTACTCAGCATTAATTATTTTCCATTCTAAAACATTTTGTGTAGCATGACAGTAGAACTTTAGCCTATCATTATCTGTGGGTCACTTTACTCCTAGCTCCTTATTCTCTGTTATGAAACATTGCTTTCTCACCACTCAGAACAAAGCCAGTCTCATTTACACCCCCCCCCCTTTCCCGGCCATGCTTTGGACGATGCTAATTAAATGTTTCTAAACACCTCCAAGGCATTGCTGTAACACAGGAAGATGGCATATGTTTTTTCCCTCTGAATTCCATGCAAGCATAACAGTTTGACGACTCTTCGTGAAAGTTCAGAGTTCAAGTGTAAGTTCGTCACTGCCTCTTCTCTGTCCAAGCCCAAATGGCAAACCAAATTTCACCTAATGCCAAGTTAGAAGAGTTAAATGCCAGCACCAACCCTTTAACAAAGAAGTGGTATCTTTAGGATGGCCTGAATGTGTCCCCTTTTATAAAGGTTAAAAATAACATTACAGTCAGTTCCCAAGTTACGAACAAGATAGGTTCTGTAGGTTTGTTCTTAAGCTGAATTTGTTTGTAAGCCAGAACAGGTATATTTTTAAAGTGTATCTTTCACGATAGATAGATAGATAGATAGATAGATAGATAGATAGATAGATTAGCATGTGGTGTTTGTTTTGATGTCTGTGCTCTTGTTCAGAAAAATTCACCTCACTTTCTGTCTGTGATAATTGGATTTTGAAATATTCATCTTGTGGAAGCACAAATTGGCAAAAGAGCTTCAACAGAGACAACCTTCCCCCATGATAACTCTTCCAAGAGTGGATTTCCCTTCCGAGGGGTAGATTTCTATCACTTCCTGTTGTCTCACCTCTGTTCTTAATTATGAGTCACTTGTAAGTCAGATGTTTGTAACCCAGGGACTGTCCATATAGATATCTAGAATTAAATACCTCTAGAACAGTGTTTCTTGACCTGGGGGTCAGGACACCTGGGGGGGGGTCACAAAGGGGGTGTCAGAGGAGTTACCAAAGACCATCAGAAAACACAGTATTTTCTCTTGATCATGCGGATTCTGTGTGGGAAGTTTGGCCCAATTCTATTGTTGGTGAGGATCAGAAGGCTCTTTGATTGTAGATTTATTTATTTATTTATTTATTTGCTTCACTTTTATACCGCATTTTTCAGCCCTTGACAGGCGACTCAATGCGGTTTACAGTGCAATTAAAACACAGCAYTACAACAACAGGYACGACYACGTCYCTCCACAACWATTAKDATCAGACAAGACAAATCYACAAACAACATATATAACCTCACCTCTGAGGAAGCTTGCCATAGATGCAGGCGAAACGTCAGGAGAAATGCCTCTAGAACATGGCCATATAGCCCGAAAAAACCCACAAGAACTGAGAGAACATATATAACGCCTCCGATTAAAGTCAGATCCATTCTCATAGTCATTGTGCCGTTCCTATGTTCAATTACCGTCTTCCTTAATTAGTTGCATTGCCTAACCAAACACTTGATGAACTATAAATCCCAGCAATTACGACTCCCAAGGTCTATTTTCCCCAAACTCCACTGGTGTTCACATTTGGACATATTGAGTATCCATGCCAAGTTTGGTCCAGATCCATCATTGTTTGAGTCCACAAAGCTCTCTGGGTCTAGGTGAACTACAACTCCGAAACTCAAACCCTTCCAGTATTTTCTGTTCGTCGTGGGAGTTCTGTGTGCCAAATTTGGTTCAATTCCATTGTTGATGGAATTCAGAATGCTCTTTGATTGTAGGTGAACTATAAATCCCAGCAACTACAAGTCCCAAATGACAAAATAACACTCTTCTGCAACCCTACCAGTATTCAAATTTGGACGTATCGAGTATTTTGCCAAATTTGGTTCAGTGAATGAAAATACATCCTGCATACCAAATATATACACTACAATTCATAACAGTAGCAAAATTATAGTTATGACTTAGCAACAAAAATAACTTTATGGTTGGGGTCACCACAACATGAAAAACTGTATTAAGAGGTCACGCCATTCGGAAGCTTGAGAAACACTGCTCTAGATGCATTTGTAGCCTCCCATCTCTCTCTCTTCACTTTAGAATTAAAACAATGGACACTTCATATAGCTCCTATAATCCACCAGCTAACATGTCTATTGGGTGGGAAATTGGGGAATTGTAACCCAAAAAAATAACCTTTCCAAGAAGCACTACATCTCTCTCCATCCCTATATTTATAATTGTCAGCACTCTGTTACAGTTCTATGCAGTCATTGTGAAAGAATCTGATGTGCTCTGAAGAGTGATCATTTGAAAAATCCAGGTTTTTTTGGAGAGAATTCATCTCTTGAGACTATCCTGTTATGTGTGGTGAAGGAAAGTGTGTGAGCTGCTTCATCTTGGCCGCTGTGTCAGGGCTTGAATTGGAAGCCATGCAGTTTTCCACATAGCGCCGACTCAGACTCAGCAATTTGGTAAGAGGACTTTCTGGACTGAAGACAAACTGATGCAAAAAAAGAGGCACCTCCGCCCTCCCAGACCCAACTACAGACCATTCTAAACTTGATACAGTGACTTGAAGAGATATGCCAAGGAGAGAATGGTGACACAGACACACGGCCCAGGGATTGTCAGAGGACGACTGCCAACGCTTCCTCAGCTGACCATTCTTAAAGGGAAAACACATGCGTCTTGCGGAGCTCTGCCAGCATTCTGCTAACAGTCATTTATGGGTTTTGGCTCCCGATGGGAACAAAGCTAAAGAAATCTTACCTAAGAAGCCAGCTAAGAGGCATGCAGTACTTTGCAAGAAAAAGAAGGCAGGGTTGAAGAAGAATCGTCCTTTCTTTATGAACCAAGTGCAAGAGGAAACCACATTTTGGAACGGCATTTGTGACCTACCAACTGCTATGTAAATTCAAGCCCAATTAATTTGAGTCTGGAGAATCATACTAGAGCAGGGCAAACTGCAGTCATTATATTCTTGGGGTTTTTGTTTTTGTTTTTGCTAAAACCAAATATGAATGTGTCTACATGAAATCCTAAGAAGTGTGATGCTGCAGTAGTAAGTATTTGCAATAAATTTCCCAAATTGATCTCAAGCTTTAGAAATGGAATCAAAACTCTTACTGCATTAGGTTTGTGTAACAGTGTATCCTTACTTGTAAATAATCCCCATGGCAAAAGGGTAGGGGGATTGGGACTTACCTTGAAGCAAACATGTTCGGCAGGCTGGCCATTACTATCATTGGCTAGCCACAAGGATACACTAGACTGAAAATAACAAATGTGCTAAAAATGCTTCATCGTCTTCCTGTTACGAGTTTCTTATATAGCCCTGCCCTTTCTCAGAAAAGATATATGGAGAGAGTGGCAGTGCATTGTGTGTGTAAGGGGGTAGCTTCAGCCAGGCTGTTTAATTGGTTCCAGGTGGCTCATGAGTCAAACCAGAAAGCTTTTGGTTGGGCAAAAATGTGCCACCAATAAAAACTAGCTCTAGCAGCTTAGCCGGAAGGAGCTGAAATGTAGTTTCCAGTTTTCCTAGGAAGAAGTTGGATTTAGAAAAGCAGTGACAGCGTGTTACTTTTTGGCTAAAGAATATTATGAAAAACAAAGATCATTGGAAACTTACTTTGTAGGACTCAGGTCCCAATACTTCCCAGTGAGCAGACTTGCTGGCTGTGGGATTTCTAAGGGCTATAGTACAAAATAAAAGTGATTTTTTTTCCAAATTGTGAATACAGTTCAGTAGGCAAGTGGTGGTAGACTGCAAGCTTTCTAACAACACTTTTCTAGCTATGCAGCTTGAAATAAATATATTAGTAGTTGATAATACTTTTCTATCCACACTGTGAAACAGTTCTGCCAATCATATGGTGGCTTCTTTGTCTTCGTCTTCCTCATCTGATAATTATTAGTTGCAGTTTAATCTTTGAATTATGTTGCATAAAGGCCTGGCTTGCTCCTATCCTTTTTCACAGAGCTTTGGTAGACAAAAAACAGTACAGTCAGCAAATGATTTTTGTGGCTTGCTAATGAACATTTTTGCCAATTAATTGCTGCAGAGTGTGCTGCTCTTAACGGGCACAGAGACAAAGGGTGGCTTCCAAATTGGAAACTGAAATATAGTTGCATTTGGCAATGCCTTTATAGATATGTTTTTCTGAACCTACTCTCTGGGATGGCCATGCCCCCTATGTGCAGTGGTGGCTGAGTCATCTCATATCAGTGGAGTGGTGAATCGGCTTTTGGGTTTCGTTGAAACTTTAATCTGAGCTAAAGGAACTATCCAAATGCTGAATCTACTTGAAGAACAGAGTTAAGCATCACAATGCCAACATCAGTCTAAAAAACAGTGGATTCACAGCCCAGTTATATGGGACTCATCAGTTATTGCTGCTCCTTTGCTTAAGTGCTCTTCAGTTAACTTGACTACAGCTATGTGTAGAACTTTCCTCCTGTTTCTTCTTGTATTATAAATACTCCAATGAAGTAAAGTTATTCAGAGTTCAACAAAAAAACCTTGCTATTTTGAAGTCTTACTGAAATAAATAAGAGATTTACTTATTGAAATATATTGAAGAAAAGACATAACCAGTGATATTTACAAATTGCTGATGGAAGAAGTATAGGAACAAGATCACCTTAAAGAAATGGAGTCCCCAGTGGTGCAATGAGTTGAACCCTTGTGCCAGCAGGACTGAAGACCGACAGGTCGGAGGTTTGAATCCAGGGAAAGCGCAGATAAGCTCCCTCTGTCAGTACCAGCCCCCCATGCGGGGACCTGAGAGAAGCCTCCCACAAGGATGGTAAAACATCAAAACATCCAGGTGCCCCTTGGACAACGTCCTTGGAGATGGCCAATTCTCTCACACCAGAAGCAAATTGCAGTTTCTCAAGTAATCCATGACACAAAATAAAACCTTAAAGAAATGGGGGAGTTAGACTATAATAAGGAAATACACCCTCAAAAGTGGAAAGGAATGAGACTAAATCAAATTGATAAGGAATACTCTAAGCAGTGCTGGAGGAGCCGTCAAGAAACTGCTACATACACACACATCTGTTGGTCTTGTAAAATGTTCAAAAATTTTGGGAAAATGTATTTCAAGAAATAAAAGGAATCACCAAAACAGAAATAATAGGAATGCCTTATCGATAATAATAAAATATCAAAGGAGCTACATGAATTAATTGCTAATCTGGTAACAGCAGCAAGATGGTTAATAGCCAAAATATGGAAAGAAGGAGGGGAGTGCCAATAGGCAGAATGCTATAGGGAGATCTGGGATATTGCAATAAATGATAAATTGGCATACAATGTTAAGATTAAAAGAGGATTACTGAAAAAGGATGATTTTGAGAAGATATGGGGAAAATTTATAGAATGTGTATATATCAGTGGTTCTTAACCTGTGGGCCACCAGTAAGCCACGAGGATGAAAATCTGGTCCGTGAGCCTCCTTCCTCTTTATTTTATTTATTTTATTTCTGCTCCTTTTATACCACCTGCCACTCCTTCTCTGTCACTAACCATGGCATATGTTCTGTATCAGAAACTAGAGCTGATGTGGTCTATCCAATGGAATTTTCTGAATCAGCACCCCAAACCAAATCTAAAGTTGACCAAAAACTTGATTTGTAACCCTTTTGGTACTAATGTTGGAGAGCGGTCCCTCCGCTCTCCAACATAGTCCCTGATCAAGTCAAAATAGTCCCTGATCAAGTAGTCTCTGGTCAAGTAGTCCCTGGTCAAGTAGTCCCTGATCAAGTGGTCCCTGGTCAAGTGGTCCCTGGTAAAAAAAAAAGTTGGGAACCACTGGTATATATAGAAGGTAAGAGGAACAAACCTGTAATAAATACAAGAAGAATTGAATTTTCGAAATAAGTGTTGTAATTGGCTAGTCTGGGGTGAAGGGTAAACAAGAGGAAGGCAGATAGAAGTAAACAATAAGTATGTAATAGAGTTAGAAAATGAACATATTATAGGAGTCAAGATATACATATTTCTGTACTACAAATCTGTTATGGAGATGTGGTATGTAGAAGAATTTTTAAGCACTGTATATTTTAAAATAATAATAATAATAATAATAATAATAATAATAATAATAAAAACTATAAGTGCAGTATACTTTAGATGGAGAAAGTTTTTAACTAAATTAGGTGCTTTTATGATATAATCTATCATCATGGTATGTTATTAAACATATATAATGATTGTATCTTTGTTGATTTTACTTGTTGACCTTATTAATACATTAAGAAAAGCCCATATTACGATGTACTTTCTCAGTGCTGATACTGTTTTAATATGTTTTTCTTGTATATGTTTTTGTTGGTTACTATATTTGGAACTTTGCTTTCTTGAATAAATTTTAAAAAATGTTTTTTAAAGAAATACATTGAAGATTTGTTCATATGGAAATAAATAGGGTTGAATTCTGAGTAAAATTGATTAGTGATTAGAATTAGCAAACCATTCAATAAGATATGTTATGTATTTTGTTGAGCTCAATACATTTGAATTACAACAAAGTGTCTATGTAACAACTTTGCAGGTGGAAATAATTAGTTAGGCTATTATTTCAAGTTCACACTCATGACAGATGGGCTGCCATTCACAGATGAGTATATGTACATTTGGCAGAAAGCTTAAATTGATTCAGATTGATTTCTAATCCCTCTCCTCCTACTGCTTTTTTTTTAGTTTGCTAAGTTAGTTTGTGCTTTATTTTACTATTTTCCTCTACTTTCTAGCAATGTGTAGTGCAAGTGTGGACAACCATGGAAAGCTAGGAGCTCCATTAGCCTTCCTAGAGACCTTGGAGGGCTATATACAGACACCCCACCACAATGGCTCCTGTGAAATTTCTTTCTTTCTTAACCTTAAATACACTCTAGAGGCATGGAGGCATGTTTTGGAGAATTCCTATACTTCTAGTAGGCATTTGGGGTGACCAAAAATATTTCCTTAATAAAAAGTTTGCAAAGTGTCATTTTGATCCCTGGGCTTCTTGCTTTGGCTTGTTTCTCTGCAAATTTCTGTCAGAGAAATATGTATGCTCTTTTTCTAGCAGACTAGAGTTTGGGCAGTGAATCTACAAGTGAGGAAGTCACTGAAATAACAGGTTTTGAAAATCCTTCAGCCTTAACAGCACAGCACAATCCACTGAACTGGTGTAATGTCATGCTTAGAGTGTCATGAAGTGTGGACTAAGAGACGTCCTACTTCAAATATCCACTCTGCCAATAACAGACTAAAAGATGTTGAGAAGATAAAAAGGCATGCAGGGAAGGGGAAAGCTTTGTATGTCCAACGTCTTGGGCTCTTCTATGGAAACAAGATACGAATGCAATAAACAGTTTTATATTATTACAATCTTGTTTGTACATTGATTAATTTATTAATATTTGCGTTTTCTGTTCAGAACTCCAAATTGGAGTTGGCAAAATTTGAGAGAATCTAGGGATAGAATGGGTAGGGTAACAACAACAGCAACACTGTATTTACATTCCGCTCTGTCTCCCTGAGGGAACTCAGAGCAGATTACAACATACATATGTAGGAAAACATTCATTACAATTACATACAAATTTACAGAACAAAGGTAAAGGTAAAGGCTTCCCCTTTCACCTCCAGCTTTCTGAAGTCAGTGCTCAATTCTGGCCATGGGGGGTGCTCTTGTTCCACTTCCAAGCTGAGGAGCCTGTTGTCTACAGACACCTTCTCATCGTGTTTGCTGGCATGGCTGCATGGGTGCCTTTATTACCTTCCTGCCAAAGTGGTATCTATTGATTTAGTCAGATCTGCATGTTTTGAACTGCTAGGTTGGCAGGAGCTAGGGCTAACAGCAGGAGCTCATCCTGACCCACAGCTTCAAACTGTCAACCTTTAGGTCAGCAGATTAATAGTACAATGGTTTAACCCATTGTGCCACCATGCAATTATATAATTTTATCTCTACAGTGTGCTGAGGCAGACTACATTGTAAGATGTTGGTTGTAAAATATTGTATTCTGTTCCAATATGTTGTGGGATGGCACACTCACTCAGCCTCCAAGTCCTAATGTTTCCTCTCTCAGATCGATACATAGGTAAGTTGTAACAGAAACTGTTTATTAATTAAAGGTGGATAAAGTAATCTAAACACATATATTTTGAATGCAACAGTCAACTTCTAGTTGACTTCTAGATGCTTAAAAAGGTATTTCTGGAGGGGGTGGTTTACAACAAAAACAAAAAACGGGTCTGGGCTACTGTGGAGCTGGGGGGCAAAATTTTTCCCACTCCTGTACTAAAATCATATGCCAAAAGTGTTCCTAAGCCCTGTGCTCTTACTCACTGTACTGCCTTTGTCATTACACCA